AATTTTTTCGGATCGAGACCTACATGAAAAGTTGGCAAAAGCGATTGGGCAGGCAGTGGAAAAAGTTTGAACAAAATCGGAGCATGGGTTGCCGAGTTATAAGCTAAAAAGTAAAAATTTTACCTCCATCCCGATTTTCCTGGTACTGAGTATAAAGTTGTTCGGATACAAGTATCAATACGCGTACTGAGAGCGCGGGGTAAAACCCGGGGGTGGCCCCCCCAATTTTACTACAACAGCAATGAACAGCAAGATTACAGTATGAGAAGACATGATTGCAACGACAGAGTGATGATGTCGAAGTCAACAATGGAAAAAGATTTAGGAGTAAATGTCGACAATGAGCTGAAATTTTCTAAGCATATAGAAGCTCAAGTTAATAAAGCCAATCAACGACTTGGACTGATCAGACGCTCCTACGAGTACATATGTATATGCTGAAGCGAAGAAGCTTTTGTTTGTTGCTGTTGTGCGTCCGAACCTAGAGTTTGGAAACGTCGTGTGGTCACCAAAACTAGAAAGGGACAAAAATTTAGTCGAGAGTGTTCATAGACGTGCAACAAGAATAATTCCGGTATTAAAAGGCAAGCCTCACGAAGAAAGATTGAAAATTATGAAGCTTCCAAGCCTCCGTTATCGACGTCTGCGTGATGACCTCATTGAAGTATACAAATATACGCTTGGTTTATACAAGGTCCCAGAAGGATTAATAGAATTTGAAACTAGAACCAACACAAGGGACCACGGCTATAAACTAAAGAAACAGCGTTGGAACACATCCACGCGACAACATTTCTTCTCGCTCCGAGTCACCGACATGTGGAACAGCCTCCCTGATAGCATCGTTGACGCTCCTAGTAAGAACGCCTTCAAGAACAGACTAGAAAGCTATGCAGGGGCATATGTCCAGTCTTGAAATGCCTAGCACCTTACGAGCCTTGCAGTAAGTCCAGCAGCTATCTCAATCAATCGTCAGTTATGGAAATGTCGGGTTCCAAAGGCCGGATCCCTTGTGAATCAAGTCACGAAAAGTACAAGAATTGGCAACAGGCTATGGGCCTATTTCTTCAGTGCCGACACTTCTATTCTATTCTATCTCCGAGATCTCCATGACGATGCTGTTCCCTCTTCAATGTCTTAGTTCAAGACAAAGACTTCCATCTCCGAGATCTCCATGATGTAGTCAGGAGTCGCGACGTTTTTGTACACAGCGACGTAGCGGCTGCAGCGAGGGGGCGACACGTCGAACTCGTACCACTTCTCCCCCAAGGGGACCGGCCCGGGGATGGCCCCCACCACGTCGTACTGGCTGAAGTCCATCGCAGTGGGAGGCTCGTCGTTGCCAAGCAGAATCTGAAATTGGATTCAGAGACTAAAAATAATGAATTAATCCTTGAATTTGTTCACAAGTTTGAACACGAAAGCTTTAACTACGGAAACAATGTTCATGTTTGATTAACATCAAATCTATAATAATTTACATAATAGAAACTGATGCAGGTGCATCGTATCGTAGGTTTGAAGTATGAGAACAAAATGTTCTTTCCTATTGCACATTCACGTTTCTCATCCCATTGTACTTTCGAAATATATGGTATGTTAAATTGTTTAATTAACTGTTTAATTCACCTGGTAGTTGTTAATTCGCTTTGGCATTACACCAACATTAGGAAGCAGTCGAACTTTGTGCACCAACATGGCTCCCTGCAAGTTGACGAGGAGCCACGGGGTCTTATAAGCTCCTGTCGCGTCCGAGTGATACTTGGTGTCGTTGCGGCCGTCGACAGCGAACTCCTTCACACTGAGCGAACGATTGGACAAGCCAAATTATTACACTAAATTGAAACAAATAATTTATACTTTCATAAATAAATGCATACCTGCTTTATTAAAAACAAAGAATTTATGCTTGCAAAAAAAAAATTTATACTAGCATAAAGAAATTTATACTTGCTTTACTAGAAACAAACAATTTCTGTTTGCGTAAAGCTATAGACCGACTCAAAAATTCGAGAAGTTAAAGATTCAGCGTTAATACAGAACAAATGAAACGAATTCGTTTATTTTGGTAGGAAAAGATGACTGATATATAGCATTACAGATTATTGTATCAATGAAGGTAACATCATGTGCGATGTTAAGACCAATTCTACGATGCTAAGAATCGGCGACAGGCCTACGGCCTAATAAACACCGAAGCCGCTATTATTGTTTATTAAGAATATAACTCAATAGTATATTAGCAGCCACTTTACAAGGTCATGTAGCGGGGCACGGCAGTGACAGGTTTGCCACGCGCTACCTCCGTGGAGGTGTTGGTGGGCGCCGCTGGGGTACGGAATGTGGCGGTCAGGGCGCCAAGCAACGTGACTTTCGACACCGTGCAAACGCCTCGGGAATAATTCAGAGCGGGTACCATTAAAATAATTGTTAGAAAATAAGACTGATAATTTTCGTATCTTAAATCCGTGCAATTGATCATGAAACATGAAGCTGAGATATTTACGAAAAACTGATGTTTTCATCAATTTCGATAATGAGAACGGAAATTTAATATCGTAGAAATTGAATTTTTTGGACGAGTCATACATTAAAATGTTCGTCATGACTCAGACCATAAGTGTACGAAGTTTCATCAAAAAGATTCGGGCCAGAAAAAAGTTATGGGCGCAAGACTGCGATTTTTGCAAAAAATCGTCGAAATTTTTGTGGTTTGACGCCATTTTTAATATGAAAAAAAAATTTTTCGGATCGAGACCTGCATGAAAAGTTGGCAAAAGCGATTGGGCAGGCAGTGGAAAAAGTTTGAACTGAATCGGAGCAGGGGTTGCCGAGTTATGAGGAAAAAAGTAAACATTTTACCTCCGTCTATGTTTCGCCGGTACTAAGTATAAAGTTGCAAAGATACAAGTATCAATACGCGAAAGACGCGGGGTAAAACCCGGGGGTGGACCCCCATTTTTTACTGCAACAGCAATGAAAGAGGACTACGGTTAGTAAAGGAGGAGTACACGCTGCATGCTTCAAATGTTTTAGAATTAAGTTTTATTCCAAGTGTCCTGAGTAGCCCCGTTCGATGGGGCAACTTGGGACACTCTTTTTTTGCTTCTGGCACCTTACAAATAGCATATGGAATTTTTTTGGAGAGGCCATGCAATAGCCCTTGCAAAGAGCTTTGAAATGAGTCTAAACTTGTTTATGAAATGTTTCATGGTAAGAAGTTATGAATGAAAAACGTTCGAAATCGTCCTGAGTAGCCCCGGTTGACGTTACTATTTAATATCTTTGTTGTTCAAACTTTTTCTTGTTCTACACCCATCTATTTTCAGTTCATTCAACTAAATAAAATATTAATATAAATTCTGATTTATAAAGTGCCAATAATGTTTCAAACATTAAAGAAGATGCAAATATTGTCTAATGTCCTACTTGCTGTAGGTAATCTAGAAAATTTTTGTGGAGATGATGTAAAGAGATTTTAGGAGGATATTCCACTGTACATCATCAATTTACAGAAAATAAATGACTACCCGACCTTAGTAAGAGGGTGACAGTAAAAACAAACTTAGATGCCAAAAAACTAACATTGTCTATGAGATACAACAAATGAATATGCCTCGCACTGAATAATATTTACTATTAAGGGGAGCGTTTCCCTAGAAAATAAAAAATTTCGGCTTTTCCACTTTCTTAGCTCATTTTGTAGCTGCTGAAAAGGTGCAGCTAACGCAGCAATCTGTGTGTATGTGCATGCTATATTTTTTGCACAACACAATGTTGAAAATATTTGAAATAAACATTTTTCAACAATATGTACTAAGATTTCTTTGAATTAAATTTGTATATATAGATCATTACTATCGTTAATTGCTAAGTGTTTGCACTCATTTCAAAGCTACAAACAAGGCGCATTCAACATAGCTACTACCATGCATGTACATGCAATACTTTTTGCGTAACAGTCTTGAACTTTTATAAAATGATCATTTCATAACAATATTTAAAAATTTTTATTTAAAAATGGTATTTTCAGATCATTATTTGCATTAATTGCAAAGTGTTTGCACTCGTTTGAAAGCTACAAACAAGACGCGTTCAAAGAAGCAAATATCATGGATGTACACACAATAGCTTCTGCATAATGCACTTGTGAACTGATATAAATAATATATATATAAATATAAAAAAATCCCATTTATAGCTTATTATTCACAGTAAACTGGACAGGAAATCAGGAATATGTCTAAAGACAAGTACTGGTACCCTGAATGCAAATAATTGGCAATGGGGAAGCTTGGGCTACAATATCAAGAATTTTTTGGCATATGCTTCTTTTTTCAATAAATGTTACTACTTTATTTGGTTCCCCTGAACAATTTAAAAATCCAAAAAATACCACCTTAAAAAGTTAATAACTCCTGCAGTATTCAAGCTGCAGCATTGAAAGACATATCATTTGATTTGTAAAGACCATACCTAGCGACTTTCGGAGCCCTTTTTTTTAAATTTGTACATTGTTTTACTTATATATGAGGGAAGGGGATGGTGGGAGTAAAAATTTGAAAAAACAGAGAAACGCCAATTAAAGAAAATTGATAAGGAAAATTGAAAATCAGGGCTCTAGAGCCACTAGATAATGTTCTTACAAATTGAATGATATGTGTCTCAATGTTTTTCTTTGAAAATCCTTGGAGGAGATAGATTTTTACAGTACCTACCTCCTATTTATCCATTTTCTAAGAATTTCATGTTTTCTTTCATTTTGTTCGAAAAACTAACACGAACAAAAAAGTTATTGATTTCTGTTTTACATTTGTGTACCAAGTTGCAAAGTGATCCATCCATAAATACAAGTTTTTTTCAGGAGGGGGGGTACACAATCCTCTTAAAAATGAAGCAAAAAAAAAAACCCAGAGGCCTAAGTGGTGACATCACAGTGAGATGTTACCACTTGATGTAAATGTACACTTAGAGGAACAGCGCCATTGGCTGTCAGATAAACTCCCACTCTTGCATCTCTAAGTGCACTGACTTAGTCTGGCTGAGTGGCTGTAATAGCAAAGTCATTTCATTTGATGGCTAAACAATTGGCAAACAATGTGGAACATATGATAACTCATCCTCTAATTTGGATGATAATCCATCTCCATCTGATTGGATGTTATTGCATGGAATGATGGCCAAACTGGATAAATCGGAGTTTGAACAGAATAGGATAGCTAAACTGGCACTTGGGGCCCCATATGGACTGCAGTGGAGGCTAAGAAAGGAGATATGGGATGGAGCATGTTTAGAGAGAAGAATGATAGCAGCATTGAGATATATGGTAATGTACAACTGTAAATAATGGATGATGAACGTTGGGGGCTAAAGATGTATATACCTGTGGAACTTGGGAGTGAGCAAATGGGAATGTAAGCATCATTCAATAGTATGCTAGTGTGAGTTATATGGGACATGGGCCTCCCTAGGGCATAATAGACCAAGAGAGGAATGGCTAATGACAGTACAGGGTCAATGGATGGAACAAACAAATAGAAGAGAGAGTGAAATTATGTGGTTTAAGAGTACTGTATGGAAGCAAGGAATGGAAAGAAATGACAGCCTGGGATAGTACCAGATGAAAGAGATGCCAAAGTATGATGCCAGTATAGGTGGGAACCTAATGTTCTTTGCAAGAGCAACTGCTTTGAGTGTGAATGGACAGACATACAGTTGGAATGAAAGAAGAGAGGATATTTGTTTTATATGTAACGGAGGTTAGAGAGAAACTGTGGAGCATCTGAAGATAGAGTGAGATGCATATGAGAGGGAGAGACAGCAAATGATGAGTGATTCTGGATTAGAGGGAAGAGAGTGATGGTGTGATGTAAGAGAGAATGAGAGATGAATGGATTGTGATGATACCATAATGGGTCTGTCAGCAGGATTGACTGCTGTCATGACTGAGAGTGGAAAGCAATATTTTGAGAGGCATGAAGAATGATATAAAAGAGGTTGTTATGAATAAAGGCCAGATAAGCATAAATAATCAAGCAACAAAGAAAAATAATAAATAACAATAATAACGTAAAAGGAGATAAGGTCACAAATATCCAGGGCTGTGAGATATACCAGTATTAATCATGAAACTTCAAACTACAGTGGAATAGGTGGGACAAAGCAATATATAATAGGCCAAATAACTTTCTTCTCGAACTCCTTTCCTTTGTTTTCATCTGAACTCTTAAAACGAACTTTTCCACCCCTTTTGCCATTGCTAATAGCCTCTCTGCCTGACCTCTTTTCCCTTTACTCCTACAAACAAAAATAAATATAAGTTGGTACCTACCGTATACCATCAGTCCGCTTGAATTGCAATGCAACAAGAAATTTAAAAGCAAAGAAAATGCCAAGAAATTTCACCATAACAATATTGGAAACAGTTTGGAGTCTAGTTCCATTGTCAGTTTGACAATTTATAAAGTGAAAACAATCATTATAATTTAAAATCCAAAGTCAGACATTAAAACCTAAAATTGACAAATAAAAGACAAATCAACCTTAAATCAAAAACAATTATATATTGTTGAATTAACAATATTGAATTTGAATTATAATGAATTCTTTCATTTTCTAGATTGTTGAACTGACAATGGAGCTGGACTCTGAAATGTTTCCAATATTGATATGGTGAATTTACTTTGCTACACCGCCATGTTTGTTGCACACTCACGTCTTATCTTACTCTTTTGTTCCTACTCATTTTGATGTTTTGGTGGCAATAGAGAAGGAAAGAGCAAAGCAGAAAGGATGAAGCTATTGTCAAAATTTCTTTCCATCAGCGAGAGACTGGTATTTAAGAAAATTGTTTGACATCAACAATATTTAACCCTACAAAGAGCAGGCCAAGCAGTGGTGTGCAGATTTTGCAAGCCTGCCTCCTGCTTCACAAGGTGATTTACTGAACTATTTGATGTTTGGTGTCAGTCAATACACCTTGTGAGAATTCATGGCATACAAGACACTTGGAGCTTTTCAGCAATTTGTTGATGGATGGTTGCATGTTACATGTTAAGGTTACATAACAAAACAGAACTGTGATTGGTAATGTATGGATAATAATGTATTATTCTGTAACTACCATACCTGTCTTGCTCTGTCCATTGCTAGACTTCTCTTCATGTTTTTCCACTCCCTTAAACGTTTAAATCCTCTTGCATCCTGTTTCAATTCTTCATGCCCCATCTTGAGGGATGGAGCCCAGTCAGGGTCATTGGTAAACATCTCATAAGCTGGCTTGCCTGTAACCAACAAACAATCACACATATTTAATGCAACATCAACCATATATAAAATGTGACTTTTTTATTAAAGCAACATCAAAAATTTATAAAATGCAACTGCTAGGCAGTCAGTTCTTGCATTAACCTATTGCAACTGAAGATTACTAAAACACAGCCATGGGTAAACTGTAAACAGATCAATCAACATTTGTTTGGAAAGAAAACAGCTTGTGTAGAACCAAGTTCACCATGATGATCAAGACCAAGGAAAAAAGGAAGCACAGTGGTTATAATAGATATGACTAAAGTGAAGAGGTAGCATTAAAAATGATAATGCATACCAGTGAGAAAATGTCTTGAGCAGACAAACACTTTCTGTTTAGATTCAAATTTGATGGTTGCACGACCAATCGCTGCCACCCATGCTCGTCGACGTCTTGTGGTAATGTCGAGAACTTTGCTGCCTTGGCCTTCCTTCACGGCTGGTAAACTGAAGAAACGTATTCCATTTTCCAGTTTTCTGTTTAAATGGTCGTGAGAACGACTTTTGCATCGAACAACAGCGCAGTAGCGTCCCATCTTCAAGCAAAAACTTTCAAGAAGAGACAAGCGCAGTAAATAGAAAACACAGACATAAGCTAGACCATGCATCAAATATGGTGGCTGATCGCGATTTGGTGCCGTGATGTAGTCTTTTTAAAGCCAATAAGGTACAATTCAATGGAATAGCATGGAAAATCCAATCAGATTATTGCCACCTCACTAGCCTAGGCAAACAGAAAAGGAACTGACCTCTAACTAGAATTTTTACTCCTGAAGTTCTCTAAAAAAAAGAAAATGGTCTTTTATGCAAGAAATTTATTGTTAGATTAACTAGTATATATGTGTCATTTCAGGTTTGACATCTACATTTTTTCAAAATCTAAAGTATTAGAAAATTTTCACTTGAGCTAGAAAGATCATCCATGTCTCAAGTGTGCAGTGGAAGTTCTGAAATAAAATTTATGAAAGTTATTAACAAATTAAAGTGGGTAAAACAGAGTGGGTAAAGAGAATTATCTGGTACATTATTTAGAAAAAAACTATCAATCTCATAAGGTTGAAGACCCAACAGGTAGTGCCAAGGCAAAAATTAGAATTAAAAAATTTTCAGTCATAGCTAATGGGTTAAATGCTTTGATGTATTCAAGACTAAGGGTTACATAATTAAAATAAACCATATAGTCCTATTCAGGGTTGGCAATGAATAAATCAAATTGATTAAATCGTGTGATTAAATCACTTGATTTTTTTATAAAAACTCAGGATTTTTTTTATTTTTTTGATTTTTTTTTTATTTTTTCATACATATATATAAATATATTGAGTGGCAGTCTTTAATTTATCTTGAGGTATTGTTATTCATGGTTTAGTATAAATGTACTATGAATGACAAATTGGTGTACCGTCAACCGGGGCTACTCGGGACAGGCGGGGCTACTCGGGACAGGCCTATGACACGGCGTAAAACTGTTGTAGTAGCGAAACTAATTGGAATATCGCAAAACTAAAAATAGTGGCGTAAACGTAACTATTTTTCCTATCTATCTAGTATAAAGGAAATCGAAAAATACTACATTTACTTGCTTTGAAAAATTCCTGAAAAAAATGGTGAAAAACTATGTTTTGTAAAGTTACAACTGCTAAGGTATGTAGCAAAAAAAATATTCGCCATATTAAAAAATTTTACTTACATAAAAGTTGCACCCAGGTGTTGGCTTGAAAACTTAATTGACAGAATTTGCCTATCTAATTCCAAAAAGAAATAGCAGCCATTTCCGTACGGCGGGGCTACTCGGGACACCCCCCCCCCCCCCCCCCCCCCCCCCCCCCCCCCCCCCCCCCCCCCCCCCCCCCCCCCCCCCCCCCCCCCCCCCCCCCCCCCCCCCCCCCCCCCCCCCCCCCCCCCCCCCCCCCCCCCCCCCCCCCCCCCCCCCCCCCCNTCCCTCCTCTGAGAACGACTCCAACAGTGTGTTGCAGCTAACAGCCCCCATCTTCCAGATATTGTTTTCGAAACATAAGTATTCTAAATGGTATGTTATGCTAACCTCTAGGAAAATAAACTTTTTTCTTTATGTACCTCCATTACTCTTTTATTTTACCTCAAAACTGCTCAATCGGTTCTGCTCCACCCTGTATATTGAGAGGTTGACATTGTATTGAACTTTTAGGCAATTAGAAAGATTTTCCACCCTAATACGAGTACCTATTCTAATTGAAATATTTAATTTCAATCTTCAAATATGTGAATTTAAAACTAGAAACATTTACAATTATAAGACGATATATAAAATAATTAAATGCAGTGAATGGATATAAAATATTTGAATTGTGCACATGTTTATTTCAAACAGTGTTAGCTTTTCTCATAACTTAAGTCTCGTTTCAAGTCGTATGAGGTTTGTTTGGTTATTGTTCAGTTTATTTTTAGTATTGGTTTATTGGTCTGAATTAAATGGGAATAGTGCAGTCAGTCACTCAGTCACTGCTAGTCGGTGTGTATAGAAGGTAGAGTCTGGTAGATTTATAGGACATAAAACTAGTAGATCTAATGATAGTGCTGTGCACTGTGCAATCAGCTACCTATCTGTTATGTGACTCTTCAATGTTTAGGAGATTTGCATTCCTGAAGTGTTTTTGTATATTGAAGCCAGTTAAATGGTCAATATTTAGCTCATTACCTTGCTCTATACAAACTTTACATAGCTAATGAATAGACTTATCAATATTTGTTTACCCGAAAATCCCTAAGTGGTAAACACTACCTTGGCCTGTTGGCCATTATTGGAGGCAATAAGTGCCCTTTTTAGCCATCCATTATGATCCATTTACTGTTATTGTTAGTAGGCTAATTGCAACATACAAAATAACACCTCAAAAAATACAAAAAAGCTGAAAAAATCAAAATAATCAAATAAATAAAAAAAATCATGAAAAAATAAAAAAAATCATTAATTTTTTATTTTTTTGATTTTTTTAAAAAATCAAAAAAATCGCCAACCCTGGCTTCAGTTAATGAAAATATTAATTAACAACAAAAAATTTTGATTACATTTACCTCGCTCAGCTAAAAAATTCACTCAACAGAAAATTAATGCATCATAGGTCATCATAAAATTGTGCAGAGATGTCATAGATAGAAATGTGCACCAGGCAACATAAAATTAAAAGTAATTTAACCTAAACTATGATTTATTCCTTCAAAAACTATGATGATTGTCACTAGAATATTCCCTACTGTTTTAGGTAGTTTCTATCTTTTTTTTTGTTAAGTATAGTTAATTCACTTGACCCAATTAAAATGGAGTGAAATTACAAGCCATCCTGTATGCTTACAGATACAGAAGAAATGCTACATGGCTGCTGATATGAAGCTTGCAGTGGACATGGTTGTTGTAAATACTCAATGGCATGCTCATGGATACAGTAATATCACATCGATAATACGGTAATGCATGGATATGGTAATATCAAATCAATAAAGGAAAAACAAGTAAAAATTACAGAAAATGTCATTCATTATACATTTAGTCATTTACATCATCTACAAAGGAAAAGGAGGACTTCAGATTACTGTTAGTAATAGATGAGTACACTCTGCATGCTTCAAATGTTTAAAATTGAGTTTTATTTCAAGTGTCCCTTTTTACCCCATTTCCAGATTAATTCAGGAGCCTTTTATATTGCGTCTAGCACCTTACAAATAGCATATGGATTTTTTTCTGGAGATGCCATACAACAGCCCTTGCAAAGACCTTTAAAATGAGCCCAAACTTGTTTATGAAATGTTTCATGGTAAGAAGTTATTAACAAAAACGCTCAATACCGTCCCTTTTTACCCCATTTTATGGTACTGTTCGTAATGGCAGTACTGTTAGTCCTAAAACTTTGAAGTGAAAGTTGTGTGTAAGGTAAACATTTGGAAAGGATGGTCTTTTCATTCATGAATGGGTCACAAATATCTTCAATGTTGATTCGGTCTGGAATTTCGTTGATTCGACAACCAATAATCAATAGTGACAGTGTTATTGATATCTTCTGAATGATAAGTCAATGGTCTGTCATTTATTTTTGCTTCATTTGAGCAATTAGGGTTTCCAAATCTGGGTGTTATGTTACCCTCAACCAGGGCTACTCGGGACGGTTTTGAGCGTTTTTTGTTAATAACTTCTTACCATGAAACATTTCATAAACAAATTTAGGCTCATTTTATAGCTCTTTTCGAGGGCTATCGAATGGCATCTTCAAAAAAATTCCATATGCTATTCGTAAGGTGCCAGAAGCAAAAAAAGAGTCCCGAGTAGCCCCGTCGACCGGGGCTACTCAGGACACTTGCAATAAAACTTCATTTAAAAATATTTGAAGCATGCAGAGTGTACTCATCCATTACTAACAGTACTCTGAAGGCCTCCTATTTCATTGTAGATGATGTAGAGGCAGAATAAATTACATTTTTAGTGATTTTTACTTGTTTTTCCTTTATTGATATTACCATAAACGTTAATTACCATCAACTGGGGTGACTTTGGCCATGCTTTCTATTTTGTTTTGCAAACAAAAACGGGGTCGTAAATGCCGGGGTCATAAACGCCAGGGTTGTAAACAAGGTCATAAATGCCGGAGGGACTTTGGCCATCGTTTATGGACCCATTTTTGTTTGCAAAACAAAATCAAAAACGCGGCCGAAGTCACCCCAGTTGACGGTACCGTATTATTGATGCGATATTACCGTATCCATGAACATGCCATTGAGCATTTACAACAACCTTGTCCACTGCAAACTTCATATCAGCAGCCTTATAGCATTTTTTCTGTATCTGTAAGCTCACAGGACAGCTTGTAATTTCAGACCATTTTAATTGGGTTGAGTGAATTTACTATAAAAAAATATAACTCAGTACTCACTGCAGTGAGTGACAGAGAGCGCATTTTCTCGTTGACAAACTTGAGGTCACAGATGAACGGACAGACAGACAGACAGACATGGCAAGCACAATAGTGCTCATTTATGCGCCATGCACTCGTTTATGCGCCATTTTAATTGGGTTAAGTGAATTTACTATAAAAAATATTATTGTGAAAAACATACCTGAAACAGAAAGGAATGTATTAGTGACAACCATCATATATTTTGGAGCAATAAATCATAGTTTAGGTCAATTACTTTTAATTCTATGATGCCCGGTGCACAATTATATATATAGCATTCTATGTACAATTTTGTGACGACCGATGATGCACTAATTTTTCAATAAGTGAAATTTTTTCGCCGAGCAAGGTAAATGAATTCAATATTCTTTGTTTTTAATCCATTTTTTTCTTAACTGGACCCTTTGCTTACTGAGGTTCTACTGTAAATGCGTTTTTGGGGGTGTCCCAAATAGCCCCGGGGGGTGTCCCGAGTAGCCCCGCCGTGCGGAAATGGCCGGCATTTTTTTTAATGAGATAGAACAATTCTGTCAATTACGTTTTCAAGCCGACACCTGGGTGCATCTTTAATGTAAGTAAAATTTTTTAATACGGCGAACATTTTTTTGGCTACAGACCTTAGCAGAAGTAACTATTCAAAATAGCGTTTTTCACCATTTTTTCAGGAATTTTTCTAAGCTAGTAAATGTAGTATTTTTCAACTTCCTTTATACTACATAGATAGGAAAAATGTTGACATTTACGCCACTATAATTAGTTTTGCAATATTCCAATTAGTTTTGCTACTATAACAGTTTTATGCTGTGTCGGAGGACTGTCCTGAGTAGCCCCGCCAGTCATGAGTAGCCCCAGTTGACGGTACATCATGTATACTTTGAATGTGAAAAAATTATAACTACCGTCAAATGGGGTAAAAAGCGAGAGGCAGGGTAAATCGGGACGTGTGTCCACATTTTGCAGAAATGTTGTAGCAGCTCAACTAATCAAAATATTGCAAAACTAAAAAATAGTGGCATAAACTTCAACATTTTTACTATCTATTAAGTATAAAGCTAGTCAAGAAATCAAATGTTTACTATCTCTAAAAAATTGCTGAAAAAAAGTGTGAAAAGTGCGATTTTGGAAAAGTAGGTACTTCTAAGGTCTGGAGCAAAAAAAATATTCAGCCAGCGTATTAAAAAATTTTACTTACATAAAAGTTGCACACAGGTGTTGGCTTGAAAATGTAATTTATGAAATTTGCCTATCTCATTCCAATAAAAATGGC